CCGTCTGTTAGCCCCGAGACCCTGCAACGGCCGCCGAGGCAGCCTCGCCCCGGCTCTCATTCTAAGATGCGTGCACCCGAAAAAAAATACCTCAAGCTTCAATGTTTATAATACACTCGTCTTTTAGAAGGGAGGAGACTTCGCCTATTTGAAAATGTACAAACTATGATTACTGTATTTTCAGTCGCCAAATAGGGTAATAAAGCACAGGGGGAAGCTCTGGCATACAACAGGGTGGGAATTGTTAATACAGCGTCGCCCGCGATGCTTGTTAATTCATAGAGAATAGTGACAATATTCTTATTTTAGTGTGTACATTTGTAACATTACACAAATAAATAACTTGTTAATTCATAGAAACTTGCTTACCTTGCGTTTTACTTTTGCTTCTTGTTCTGCCATCTTCTAGCTTTGCAGGCTTCTTCTGATGATCACTAATTGAATGCTGACCCCCTCCCACTTGTAAAAATCCTTCCATTAGGGGACCAAATGGGCGGGGCATATGCAAAGTGTGTGTGTGGAGCAGTGAGTGCAATAGCACCGAATAACCATGTGGGGGGCTGCTGAGCACCATTCACACACAAACAATCAGCAAAAATGGTGACTTGTGGGCCTTTGCTAAAAACTTCACAGGCATATTCAGGGCAGCCCCCCTGATGCTTTTTGTATGTTATTCTTATGGGGACCTGCTTTTTTGTCCCCAGACGGTCACTGGTCCCCAGGACGTGACTGTGTAAACAATTTTATGTCCCCACAACCATACATAAACGAGAACACACACACACACACACACACACACACAAATTAAACATATATATATACACACCACCGCCCAAAACACACCCCCTGCCTGTTGCTTGGCACATTAATGGAACTTTAATGGAATTAGTCACTGGTGCCTTTCTTTCGGACCAGTTTTACCATCTAGACTGTTATTTTATGTAAATGTTGTTTTGCGACTGAATGGGTTCAGACACATCATGAAGAAATGCTGAAAGAAACCATTGCAATTACTTTTTTTGCAGCTTTTACCTCAAAGTTGTATAAAGTTTCTCAATTGAATTGACTTCACTTTTCAGCGATGCTACTTTCCTTGTCTTGATGAACACTCTCTCACGCAGACACACACGCACACATTCACACACACTCCCAGGTTGCATTTACACTCCACTGAGTTTTCACCATTCATTGCACGCCACCGCCCCACCTCTTCGTTCCTCCCTTTACTCTCGCTGTCTCTTTTCAGGGTCTTTGTTTGCCCACGACCTCCCTCCTTTCACCGACTTGGTCCTCTTGTGGCCCCCGTGCTCTGTCGTGCCCTCATTCCCAGACCAGATAACACCAAACATTCAAACGCTCACTTATGTCGGTGACTTCAAAATTCCTTTTTCTCTAAATTGTAATCTGAGAAAGTTTGGCATCTTGTTTCTTTATCTGGCGTTTTACTCCCGCCAGGTTGCAGTGTCTCTCTTTTAAATTTATTTATTTATTTGACTGTATTTGGTTTATAGCGCAGCCGAGTGAGAAGTAGCCAAGGAACTGTGGCAGACAAAAGGTCATAGCAAAAATCCACTTCTGCCAGTCGTAGCCACGAGGCAGCGACCTTGCCTCCACCTTGGTGCCCTCCCCCCACACACCAGGACTGACTAATGCCACGCTACACCCGCCCCCCACATCTCGCTCTTAGCTATCCAGGTGATCCGCTTGGCTCACATTCATGAGACAGCCAGCGAGCGCGAGCAGTTAAGGTCCAATAGGGAGAATGTCCGGGCTCATTATCGGCGTAGGAGGCCAAGTGTGTCACCCGAAGCTAAGCCTCGACACTCGGCTAAAGAGTCAGCCGGGGTTAGCATTACAGCGTGGGTGTTAGTCATTCCACCTCGCGGCCATCACCTCTTACCACCGCCCCATGAGAAGGAAGAGCTCTCTCACTCTCTCTCTCTTCGGCTGGCTCCAGAGCAGGAAATGCAGTCTCCTTGCGGCACTTAACGGCACCTTGGGAAGCTTAAATGAATGTGATTATCATTGTTAGTGCTGCAGAGTGCAGGTGCAGCACCTCTGAACTCAGACGCCTGGGAGGAAAGCGCTCACCTGACGATGAAGCTTGCTGAACTTTGGCTTTCAAAAAAGTTGCTCTCTAACTCTTCATTGCTTTCTAACTCTTCTTGGTCAAACTGATACGCTAAAGTGTTGATGGTTGCCGATTCCTGCCAGCGACAGATCTTTGAACGCAGCGAGCTGGTGGCACCACAACTGTCGCGGAGTGTGTGCACAAAGTCATCCCACTGTGATGCTGCCTTTTGATTAGTGTCGCCGTGTGTTCTCGTTCAAACCTGCAGTCCTTTTGTTCAAAAGGAGGTCCACTTGTATTTGATGCCTTTTCTTCTCTCTCTTTATCTACCTTTATTAAAGAATGAGAACAAGGAAAGAAACTGTCACTGCCCTAATCAATAAAGCAGCACCACTCCACTTACAAAAGAGCCACTAATAGCGGTCTTGTTAAAGCCCGATGTCAGACATACCAACCTCAAAGCCAACAGTTACACGTCAACTGGATGAGTGGCAAAACGATGCAGGTAACACTTTATGCAGCCCAAATGGTGTTTTAACACCAAGGTAAGATGAGCTAGCAGAGAAGTAAACATCATTGTCTTCCTTGCTCGCCTACGCCACAAAAGGATGATGAAGAGGTTGACAAAATGATGGCCTGCGAAATGTTCGTAGGTTAGAATTACTTTGTTGCACCGCACAATGGCGTTGGATGAGCGCTCGTCAGCAGTGGCACCTTAACAAAGGCGTCTTTCTGCACGTTAGTGGCGCATGTCGTGCCTTGACAAGCTCCCTTGACGCCAACAGACAGCTGACGCTCGGGGAAGATGGCATTGGCTGTAGTTTCACAAGACAGTTGGCCGCCCCCATGCAGCAGCAGACACAAAGTGGTGACAAAAATAAATGAAAGCACCACTTTTCTTCTCCGCTGTGAAAGTTTGTTGTGTGGAAGGTGGGCGGTGCCGCACCTTCCTCACGTGGGAGTAGAAAGTCAGTTTTGCAACAAAGAGATACTCCCTCATTGCTTTTCGGCGCACACAATAGCCCCTTCACAACCTTTCTAACCTATCCACCGCCCTGAGATCATGTCATTCACTGGCTGTCATTGAATCTGCATCTGTAGATGGGGTCCAGAGTGGCAAGCCGATTGAGCCTTTTGTTCTCACCAAAAAACTCTGCCGGAGATGTTGGCTGGTGAATTCCATTTTGAACTGTTGCATTCCTCAAATATAATAGTGTTGTTTTGGGGCAGTGTGCATGCGGTAAAGGCTCAGTATCAACTATGCCAAGGTAGATTTGGACCACCCAGGAGAACCCTGACCAGTCCAGCCTCCTCCCCCCGGCACCAATCCCCCGCAACTCGCCCCATCTCCCTCCCGAGCAGGTCACCATTGCCCTTTTTGTCATCACAAGCAGCATTACTAAGTCTGAACTTGCCTAAACCCTTGTGATCACACCTCTTGAAAGGGTTTTCTTTCCTCCACCGATTGGTATTCGAAGCAGGTCACCGCAATCCCAGACGCCTGCACCCCGACCCCGCCTCAAAGCCCCGTTTTCATTTTAATTTGCACCTGTTGTGCAGTTGTTCGATGCAGGCAAGTGTGGACCAGCCAGTCATACGTGCCTGGAGGGGGCTGTGGGAGGTTTAGCCTTTCATATGTAGAACGTGAACACAAGTGTCATGCACGGGCTTCACCGTGGGAAGAGGCAGCCTCTTATAGATTTATTAAAGCCCTCAAAATGTGAGAAGTCCAACACAACATGGTGCCTTTGCGTGACTGAATCAGACCACTGAACATTTCCCCTGGTTGTCCACCTTCACCATAACCTACCGGTGGTGGTGACTAATTTCCATGAATGCCGTTATTGAGTGAGGTCACGGCTTTTTCAGAGGCGCCAACCATTCCGGCAGGATTTTTGGGTTCTTTGGTTTAAGACAATCACACAATGGGTAATTGAAATAACTTGAAAGTGAAAAAAGTATTAATACACAGAAATGTCTTGAAATTAACAAATGAAATTCCAGCAGTTTGTTAATGTTCCAACAGATTTTGGGGGGAGGGGAATATGAAAGAATGAAACAGGCTTTTGATAAAAAATAAAGGCACCCTTAACTGACGGCATGTTTCAGCGTCAGATAAATTCAATCGGATTGAAATACCTCGCAAGTCACATTAGAACTGTCAAATCTTCAAAAGGTTGTACTACAAATTTCTGCTACCGTTATTTTTGTCCAGGCCAGTTTTCATTTTCAGTCGCAGTCTTGTTTTCAACAGTTAATTTTCCCTCCATTTTTGTCTATTATTCCATGTTGTTGTTGTCAGTCACCATTGAGTTTTGTCCCTTTCTTTTACATAGCGGTCCCAACAATTTAGCTGTGTGTGTTTGTGTGTGTGTGTGTGTGTGTGTGTGTGTGTGTGTGTGTCTTTGCAGAGAAGTCTTGAGCCTTGAGGCTTGTCGTGTCTCAGCCCATTTACGTTAGGAAACGTATTGTATTTATGTTCATGGCTGGCTGCATGTAACGAGTAATCAAGGCGGCCGAAGTCGACGTGACTTCGTTGTGCCGCTTGTGCTATGTTAAGCATCTGAAATGTGACAGCGACGCTAAGGCGCAGAGCCTCCATGAAAGGTGCAGCATACTGGCATGTCAGGCATGTAAGCGGGACTAGAAATTAGCGGCTATTTTGGCCGACATCACACTGGCAGCTGTCTGCCCGTAGCTGTGGTTCAGTCGCAGATTCCAGTGCTGTAATTGGGGTGTAACCGATGACTTGGGCCAAACAACAATTCGGGACCTCAATAGCTTCCAAAAGATGTTGAAATCCATCTAGAAAGAATGTGTTTCTGCAGCAGTGGCAGTTTATGTCTCAGGAAGCAGTGGCCCCACCCACTAATCCAAATGTCCTCGGTTTCACAGCTCTCAACTACGAGAATGTGGTGGAGACCAGCTCGGAGACAGAGGAGGACGACAAGCTGCAGGTGTCCGAGGAAGACCCGCTGATCAACGGCACTGGTAGCCCGGCCAGCCTCGTCAACGCGGACGCCTCACCGTGCGCCGAGAGCCACGGGCTGCCCACCAAAGAGGAGGAGGACGACGAAATGCGGGACAGTGGAGTGGAGCACATCTGGCCCGACAGCGACATGCTGAGTGCATCAGTGGATGGTACCGGTGAGTGTCAGCTGATGTCATCATCTCATTGGGTGATACCCCAGGAGGCGGGAGCTACATAAGTGAGCGTCACACTTGGCTCCCAAAGCCATGTTGCTCCTTTTTTTTAATTAAAATTTTGACACCTGACACCAGTCGGAGGCTCCTGCAGAATTGCGGTTTCCTTTGAGCCGCCACATGTATGGTGTTCAGGTGAGCCATTCGTCACTGAACCCCACTAATCTGACTGGCAGATTCTTTATGTGCACATGCTGCCGCTTGTGGTATCATCTTATACGGTAAACCCCTCCCATCTGGTGCTCGTGTAGACTTAAACAAATGCAGCCAAGTGTCGAGCAAACAAGGCTGGAGCCAGGTCTGATGGCGAGGCCTCCATGGCACTCCCCTGGCTGACAGGCGCTGGAAATCATTTTGGTTGGTAAAGTTGGGCTAAGATATTCATGACCTCAAGGAGGATTGACAATAAAATGCAATATCGATGCCATTCAGAACCTCACTCGCAATTTTGTAGTGCATTAGCTATCGAAGTCGCAGGTGTCCTATTCAAAGCCGGGGGCCGATATCTGGCCCGCCGCATCCATTTCTGTGGCCCACTAAACCAAATAACATGCATTTACTTCAGGTTTCTCAAAAAAATCGATGTATTCTTTACATTTTGACCGTACTGAAATTGCATTTTATCCCTTAATTTTAACCGATATCACAAGCAATTCTTTCACCTTATGCCATTTTAACATAAGCGTATCATGTTGTGGCTCCTCCCATATGACCCCCCCACCACCCCACCCCCGCCTCACCCAAACTTGACTGATGCTCTTTTGTTGAACGGCTCTGATTGCCGGGGCGCCAGTCACGGATGCTTGAAAGATAAATACTTTTAATTAGGGGGCAGGGTAGAACTATTAAAGGAAGCCAGACTGCTGAAAAAAGTCATTAGCAATCTTAAATGAAATTTTTATTTTTATGATAGCCATTTACATGTATAATAAGAGTCAATGATTCTTGGAAGCGAGTGACAGGAACAGAGTGCGGCGAGAAGTCATGTAAGACAGCTCCTTTTTAAATGAGCTTGGCTTTGCTATTCATTTCTGCTAATGAACTAGCCATGCAGAGCACCCAAGAACCCAGGAACATTCAGCGGGCTTAAATTTTAATACTGGAGGTGGGGAGGTGGGACATTTATTAGGGGAGGGAAAAAGCCTAAATAACAGTTCATATCCTTCAGGGATAGAGGGAAGAAGACAGTTGGGTAAATAAATCAAGATAAAGGATAAACAAGCTGTCGTTGCATACGGTAATTGTTTATTTGATAAAGACCCGCGGTGCCATAATGTCTGTAAATCAGCCATGTTGCAATTCCCACATAATCTGCTTCTGCCATGATAAAGTGTCTGACATATTTGGGAGAGCAAGTCAAGTTCATTAGAGTCTTGCTCCCAATCTTGTGGCTGCTGTGTTTCCCAGCCTACACTTACTTTGCCGGTGCCTGACTGTCTGCGCAGATACCTCAACACATAACTGAGTCCTGAGATAAGCTAGTAGCCCCCCCACATGCGCGTGCACACACACACACACACACACACACGCGCACACACACACACACACACACACACGCGCACACACACACACACACACACACACGCGCACACACACACACACACACACACACGCACACACACACACACACACACACAATGCGGTCCTGCTGATTTGGAGCCCTATCAGGAGCTTCATACTGAGCCTCTGGAAGGCTGAATGTGGTCTTCTTGGAGAGTTTGACTTCACAGAAATCTTGCTTAAACAATGGAGGAAAAAAAATTACTTTTGGTGCTTTGAATGTACTTTGACAGTGACTTCATGCAAGATGGGAAGCTCCTGTGATTCCAGAAGACAATCAGAGCCTTATATCTGGCCTTGTCCTTGACATTCCTCCATCCCACAGTTTGGCTGGATGCAGTCTTCTGGAAAGCATGACATCATAGTCACTGACAGGCATTTGAACATAAATCACCTGCGTTAGAGTCAGCAATGTAACACTGCGCCATATTTCCATTGCCACCGAACATGTAATTGCAGAAGTTTCTATTGTTGAATAAAAGCACCTCCCTCACATCTTGTCAAGTCCAAATTTCAGACTGTTATTTGGCTGGATGGTGCTCCATTGTGAACCAGTGCATGCAAAATATTTAAAAGAACCTACATTGCTACTCTTTGAATCCTTTTTTTTACTTAATACAACTGCATTAAATGTGTCCCAAATCTCCGAGGCAAAATGAAGAATGTCCATTAAAATAGGAATGTTTTCACAACAAACAACATCAGTGCAGTATGATGATTGGTGCCATAGTCTTGGTCTGACACAAGGTGTAGGCCTTCAGTGATTTAACACTGACGCAACACACCTCTGGCTAGCCCGTGACCCACAGCCACACATTTTTGTGGCCCACACGCATGTCTAGTGACAGCTTTTATGCCATATAAAAGTGTTGGCTGCCATGTCAGGACATAAACACTCACTTTCTGAGTGGACTCCCCTCTTTGCTGGCTCACCGCAGTGACACATTGCCCAGTGCCAGAGGTGGACCAGCCTCCTGCTGGAAGCGCTGGTCTCGCCTTCAGACCGCAGATAACACGTGTTTTCCAAGGTAAACACTAACAGGGCAGAGAGGAGGACCAGTAAATCCCACTGGTCATCCCCTTGCGTCAGGGCAAAAGAATGCAGCCAAATTTGATTAGCCAAAGCAAACATGGCTTGTGAGGACACACACATGTGCTGAAATCTGAGCTGTATGGGTATATTTCAATCTGTTGCTCATGATTTATGCGACTAAAAAAACGTTTATTCTCAAGCTGCGGTTCCGATACCGCTTGGCAGACGTGCAATCAAAAAAAAAGAAATAAAAAAAGTCTTGAAGCCAGAGAGTGAGGGGTGGGTCTGGGAGTGGGGGCTCACAGCCTACACTGCCGGCAATCAAGTCCATTGTTAGCTAAAAATACAAAAAGTAATTTTGCTTCTGGCTTTTGTGCAGGAAACATTATGATCAGCGTAACTTGCTCCACCTCTTCCTGGGGCATGCCGAGTGACATCGGATGGTGCCGCCTTGTGACACCCAGTAAAACGAAGGCACCAAACATGGCCTCCATCTTCCTGGAAGCATGTTTATTTAATTGTGGGCAGAAACCAACGTGGAAATGCTACTTACGAGCTTGTCCCCGAGTTGACAACCACCTCACCTGTGCCAGCACCTCACTGGCTGACTGCAAGGCCATTAACCTGAAGAATCTTTCATCTTTGAACAGTAGAATCGCAGTGCAATCAGATTGGACGATGTCTCTTGACAGCAACGAGCGAAGGAAACGCGTTAAACACAACTCTTCATTTGTGGTGCAGGGGTGTGTTATTTTTAGCGTGTGTAGTGTGCACTACTGTGTGTAACAGCTTTGGATGAAAATGTTCACATGCGATGAAGCAAGCATAATGTGCGTGTGGAGGAGTGCGGCAGCATCACAGGCAGGGCGTAATAAACTTGAGCCGCATGTTGGCTGAAGCTCAACAATTGCTCAGGTGGATATTGTGTTTAATTGTAGCTTGTTGTCATGTTAAAGGTAAATAAGTCACTGTCTGGCCCGCGTGAGAGTATTCATTGCGCATGATCAGCAAAGCGGTGATGTGCTGCCATGCACAGCGGTGCCTTTCTACGTACGTCTCATCTTTGTTGGCTTGCACTCACTCCTACCCCTTTGTCCATTTCCTCCACAACCCCCACACCTCTTGTATCACTCTTCTGTGCAGATGAAATAAAAGATTTCGACACTTTGGGCCCTGATGCCACTTTGCAAATAGCAGGAAATGGTACAGGTGAGTCTGACTGTTGCTCATTGTCTCCTGCTATTGAAACTCTCTTTCTCGTGTCTATGAACCTACTTTGCAAATAAACTGCTCACCTTTCCACAATGTATTCCCCATACACAACATAGTTTAGGACGCAGGATATAATAAAATAGAGGGAGCAAATATTTTTTTGTCTTTTTGAAAAGATGACAAGCATTTGTTGTTCTGAAGTTGCTAATATCCTCCTGGGCTGGGTTAAAATGCAGCACATTTTTTATTTTCATGAATAACAAGCCAGTTTTAATCAGCAGAAGTGCAATTCCAGCAATTAGCTTAGAAGGACAAGTCTAATGAACACCGTCAATGATGCAATTGTGGCTGCTAAAAGGGATTCATTGGCACCGATGACATTTGCTGTTTTTTCTCTCGATAACCAAATATTTGCTACCTTGACCTTTTACAAATTGGCCAATGAAGTTGTCACAAATGGCGCTTAAAAGCTCACCTTGACTTGCCATCCAAAAGGCTTATTAGCCACAATCGATTCTCAGTGAGATGTCACTCAGATGAGGACTAATGGGGGTCACCAATATCTTCGCGAGGTTGGTCATCTTGGCAACATCCTCCACCGCTGCAATGAATTTTGCTTTGGCTCGAACCAACAACGCCACAATCCCTCCTCTGATCTTAAACGTGTCATCCATGCTCTGCTACTGCTGAATTCAGGAGCGTCCGCATTCGTGTGTGTTTTGGCAGTCGCGAGTGATTGAACTCGCTCAAGTTTTTCTGTCACTGCTCATTCTATGATTTGAAGTTGGATTCGGCGACAATTCTTATTTTAGTAGTGCAGACATGCAGAGCCCATAATTTAGACATATTTTCTCTGAAGCTTTGCTCTCTTCTTTTTGTGTCGCCTCACACTCGGAGCAAGATATTCCCCAAATCTTTGCGTAGGACACATTTATCTGGGCAAAAAAAAATCAATCGTATGTATTATCGTTTCTTATCCCTTCTCCCCTTTAGTCAAGAGCATCAATTGCACTTCAGAGTTCGAGGACTTTTTTGCCAAGAGAAAGCGTGGCGACAGCGACAGCCACGTGGTGAGCATCGCTGAGTATCTCCAGCGAGGCGATACCGCTATCATCTACCCAGAAGCCCCCGAGGAGCTGTCCCGACTTGGGACACCGGAGGCAGTGGGGCCAGAGGAAAACGGTAAGGAATTTTTCACGTTGTTTTAAGACGCAGGCCTTGTTATATTCTATGACCTTTTTAACTTGTCGGTGGCCATTTTTTTTGAACTAATGCCCGTTTACTAGGATAAAATATCCTTTGATTTTTATTTTTTAGCCCTTCAAATTCCAGTTTATTTCCACAATGTACAACTTTGTTTTAAAAACGTGGTATACTATATCTGAGTGCTTCTAGAGCAAGCAGAAGGAGCTTCCACTTCTTTAATTAAAATATAATTCTTCACGGTCTGCAGAGTTTATTCTCAAAATCAACATTACGCCATTCATTTGCTCCATTGCGATGCTCTAAGTCATCAGATGCCTCTTTTGAATATTACATTAAATTGCTCCCTTTTCTCAAAACGAATAACCGATGTAATGTATCCAACATAAAAAAAAATGTTAAATGTACTCTACAAATGAATTTTAGGTAAATTGTATGGGTTTCAATTCATCACCATGATAGAAGCAAGCGGTAAAATATTTGCCTCCTAGCTTGTGTGCTTGGGAAAAAGGGAAAAAAAAAGTTCATCTCTCAGAAGCTGCAACAGCTCTCTTGGCCGACATGAGCAGACAGCTGTTGGTCCCACAGATTTGCCGGATGCCACAGTGTTTACCTACAGTCTAAAGCAACAGCTGGGCAGAAACCAGATAGTTCACCTCTGAAGGTCCCAGCAGGCGGACGAGGATTGAGGATTGAGGGAGTGGGGTCAAGCTGCAGACATGGCAAGCATATGAGTGAGAAAGATTTTAAGAAGTGACAGCAGTGAGGAAAATGCCATCCTGCTGCGCTGCTGCGTGTGTGCGTGCGTGCGTGTGTGTGTAGTCTTCAGTCTCTTAACAGAAAACAACTTCGAAGTTAGAAGTTAAAGCCATCTTGTGTAATCTCATTTGAGTAAAAGAAAATATCTGACATTTCCTAAATTGCAAAAGTAATTCTATGGTATTAAATGTACTAGAGTATTTGAAGTAAAATTAAATATGTACCGTAATTTCCGGACTATAAGCCGCGACTTTTGTCACACGCTTTCAACTCTGCGGCTTATTTCATGAAGCGGCTTATATAAAGACTTTTCTAACGGCCGCCTGTGTACCGTCTTTCTTTGTAAATATCTCATGTTACAATATGGGCACCTGCGGCTTATACACAGGTGCGGCTTATGTGTGTACAACATATTTTTTTCCTTTAAAAATGTAGTGGTGCGGCTTATAATCAGGTGCGGTCTATAGTCCAGAAATTACGGTATATACTTGTCGATGTTTTTATTGATTTCATTTTTATTTAGTGAGCTGACTTTAGTGGTATAGTTAAAGGTCCTTGTGTCACTTTAGCTTGGCCATCAAGTTCATTGGATGCCTAAACAAGCTCATGTTAACTAAAGGAACAGTGAAGTTTTGACTACAATGGATTAAAAAGAGGGCGGCACAGTAATCGACTGGTTAGCACGTCCGCCTCACAATGCAGAGGTGCAGGGTTCGATTCCTGCTCCGCCCTTCTTAATGTAACACTCTAAAATGTCCCTCGGTGTGAGTGTGAGTGGGGATGGTTGTCCGTCTCTGTGGGCCCTGCGATTGGCTGGCAACCGACTCAGGGTGTCCCCCGCCTACTGCCCGAAGACAGCTGGGATAGGCTCCAGCACGCCCGTAACTCTCGTGAGGATAAGCGGATTAGAAAGTGGATGGATGGATGGATAGATTAAATAGAAAGTGGTCTAACCGACCAGGTTGGATGGGAATTTTTGAACACAAATAAGTGGCATAACAGGCAACTAATCCGATGTATGAAAACCATTCCTCTTCAAATGCCCACGTGTGTGCAACATGATCCTCGTAATGGATACCTCGGTTTTTCATCACTGTCGTAATTTCCATCTGCTGGAGATGTTGCTTCAGCAGCAAATTCAGCAGCAGGTGTTTCTGTCTTCATTTCCATCAAATGTATTGTGTCACGACAGGGACGACATTTTGTGTTTCTGCTTTGTGCTCCGCGGTTGGGCAGTTTGCTAACAAACACTTTGTTGGGATTTTATTTTGTAGTAACGAGTAAGGAAGATGGATAGGGAAGTGAATCGAAGTAAAAATGCAGGCTTTTTTTGTCAGTTGTCCGAAATTACAAAGTAAAATATGTAGGTGAAAATTCTACTGAAGTAACAAAGTATTTGTATTCTGTTACACTGCAAGGCCTTCTGTGCACGTGCGTGTGTGTGCCAGCCCAACACAGTGACTCTCATGTGCAGCAGATTGCGTAGATACCTCCCATACCACTCTGGGCAAACCGCCCATTAGCTGCCATTGATTGGCTGACCTTTTGGCCCGCTTTCCTTTCCCTTTCAACCCCCTTTCCCCTCCTACTCCTCCGTCACCCATGCAGACCTGCCACCTGGAACGCCAGATGCCTTCGCCCAACTGTTGACCTGCCCCTACTGCGACCGGGGCTACAAGCGCTTGACATCACTGAAGGAGCACATCAAGTACCGCCATGAGAAGAATGAGGAGAACTTCGCCTGCCCGCTGTGCAGCTACACGTTCGCCTACCGCACTCAGCTCGAGCGACATATGGCCACGCACAAGCCTGCGAGGGATCAGGTTAGCTAGTTCTTCTCCTTACATCCAGACTCCCGCTACCCCACCAATACACCCTTACACACACACACACACACACACACACACACACACACACACACACACACACACACACACACACACACACACACGCACACACACACACACACACAACCTCCATCTTATCTCTAATGTGCTGTGATCCTCTGAGAAGAGAGATCATTTTTTTTTCTGATTGGCAATCATTATTAATTTTTCATGGCATTTTGAAGATGCGACTCCTTTAATGGTAATAACTTTAATTGAGGCCCTAAATGGTTTTTTGATGGCCTTCCTTGATATGATTTTGCAGACTTGTGTTCACGATCCAGTGATTGTGTTAATTTCCAATTTGGAAATTTTATCAGCTCCTTAACTTTGCTCCTGGTCTTTAATGTTGTTCTGGTGACACATACGCACACACGCACACACGCAAACACGCGCGCCCACACACACACACACACACACACACACACACACACACACACACACACACACACACACACACATTCCTCTACACTATACAATATACGCAGAGAAAGGAAGGACAGCCCTCACACAAATTGCATATAAACAGCAGCAACATTTACACAACATATAGATCAGAATTATATACAGTAATATAAATAATATTTTGTCTCGTGACAATGGATGTGTGTCCTCTTGTGAGGATAAAACACTGCCTATGATCATGGATGTTAATTTACAGCATTGAATATCTAATTTAGCTTAATTTGAGACATGATTATGTAAATAAAATGATAAATTGGTCACGGAAATGTAGGACATGATGAAATAGAAGCAGAAAAATTATTGTTTGAAATAATTTCTGAACGTGGGATGGGATTCAACTTTTTGATCCAGGTGAAACTCACCTTCTCACCTTTACAGCACAGTGAACATTTTGCTGAAAATTAAATAAAAATGGACAGAGACTTTCGATGAAAATTTTGAGATATTTATTTTATTTTATCCATCCATCTGAGCCACTGATCCGAATGAACAGTTTACCAGCAAGGGCATATTTTATCTTATAAATGACTAAAAAATGTAGATATTTACCACACAATATTATAGGAAAGTCCTAGAAAAAAAATCTAGGTTGTCATATAGAACCTGCAGAACTGCAAACCAAAATGTATTCACACCAATGAAAACTTGGTGTTGGAAAATTTTGCGTAAAAAAAGTGCTTCAAAAAAAAAAAATCATGTCACACGCTGTGTTCCCTTGTCTCATGAGACAAGATGACAGCCTCAGGCTAAATTTGATGTCATCAGCCAGCACGCTCACCTGATCTACCAGCTGGATGTAAACGTGAGCAGATGGGCCGGCCGAATGCCTTGCTGTCCCAATCCCCACATTACCATGCTGCTGCCGCTCCCGATCTCAATGGCCGGCGAATCCTGTTCAAGCACCGCGGCTCCTTCTGCTCCACCACTTGTGTTAACTTATAAAATCATCTGCAGTGTGTGGCCCGCACTCAGCTTCTTTGGCAGGTTCCTCTTTGTCATTTGTATCCTGCCCGTCCTGCGTTAGAGAGCACGCGAACACCGCGCATTAGCATAAGGAATAATGTACCCATCAGTAAACATGTGCTCTCATATGTTTACAAGTCTTAATGCTCCTCCTGCTTTTAAGCAATTAGCCGGAATATGATTAATTAGATCTTATACATATGCAAGCATTCTGCCCGTGCCCCGCCCACAAGTGTGGTGCCATTGATGGCGCCAGTGCATGAAGGCGAGATGAAGCCTTTTGCTGGTGCCATTCACAATTAAGGGCCCAGAGTGTCTTATTAGCAGTGAGACTAAACTTTAACGGGCAAAGGTCCTCAGGGGTAGAAGGGGAGAAGGAGGTGGGGGCGGAGGCACCGAAGCAGCTGTTGCTGTTTGTTTATGCAACTCGGCAACATACGAGTGGCGCGGTGCTCTCCAGCGCTTGGCGGGGGCCCCCGACTCTCCCCGCTTGATCTGTGAAGGTTGGAGCTTTTTTGTTTGTAGTGTCCTGTGCACTACCATCTGTCTCCCCAGGAATTCTTACACCCCAGCATTTGTCGGGACTGCGGCAGTAGGAGGGGCATTCGATTTTGGTTCATCTGAGCTCGGAGAAAAAAAATGAAGTCCTTCTCTCCAACTCAGAATGAACGTTTTCATATGTGGTGAGCAGGTTCAGACAGTCAGACTAGATGCTGGGGACCGGTGATCGTTAAAAGTGCTAATTAGATGCTCTGTCCTACAAGAAATGTTAACCTTTCAAAAATGGTGTGAATCCAGGTATGCAGGGTGATTCGAGACTTATTAGTGTGGAATGAATGAAAAGTAGATCAGATCAGTACCTCTAATGAAGGGAATTGCGCTAAAAATAGATCATTTTCTGGGCTGCCAAATTCTAAAGAGAGTCGAGCAGGCAGGAAATTAAAAGGTGTGGGATCCTCTCTGTTATCACCACCGCTTGTGGCCGTTCAGCATCGAGTGTAACATGCTTATTGTAATCTTGACCACTTATGGCTACGTCCTTGCATCGTTTTGATGTCTGCGCGGAATTTTGATGCCTAATGTGTCTTCCACAGCACCAACTGTTGAACCAAGCAGCCGGCAACCGCAAGTTCAAATGCACTGAGTGCGGTAAGGCCTTCAAGTACAAGCACCACCTGAAGGAACACCTCCGCATCCACAGTGGTGAGTGGCAATTGAAGAAGGTGCTTGCAAATATGTTAGTCTTGAACCGGACATCTTATTGTGTCTGTTTTTACGCCGCAGGTGAAAAACCATACGAATGCCCCAACTGTAAGAAGCGCTTCTCGCACTCGGGATCTTACAGTTCGCACATCAGCAGCAAAAAGTGCATTGGCTTGATCGCCGTCAACGGCAGGATGCGTGGCACCATGAAGACGGGCTCCTCCCCCACCTCGGCCTCCTCCTCCCCCACAAACACTGCCATCAGCCAGCTGCGGCAAAAGCTAGAGAACGGCAAGCCAGTGGGCCTCGCTGACCACAACAACCACCTGAGCATCAAGACAGAGCCACTTGACTTCAACGACTATAAGCTGATGATGGCCTCGCATGGATTCAGTGCTCCCGGGCCTTTCATGAATGGTGGAGTTGGAGGCAACAGTCCACTGGGTGTTCACCACAACTCAACAGCCCAAAGCCCTCTGCAGCACCTGAGTATGCACGGGCTGGAGTCGCAGCTTCTTGGCTACCCAAACCCTCTGATTAACAACCTGAGCGAGGTGCAAAAGGTCCTCCAGATTGTAGACAACACAGTGTGCAGGCAGAAAATGGACTGCAAACCGGAGGAGCTGTCCAAGCTCACAGCCTATATGAAGGAATTAGGCACACAGGTGGAGGAGCAAAAACAGGGCCTGACATCGGCAAGTGGGCCACAGGTCAGTCTTCCACTAGTCAATCACAACGGCGCCACCAAAAGCATCATAGACTACACACTCGAGAAGGTCAATGAAGCCAAAGCCTGTCTCCAGAGCTTGACCACAGACTCAAAGAGACAGATCAACAATATCAAACACGAGAAATCCAACCACATGCTGGAAAGTGGCATGGAGGAAAAGGCATCAGAGAACATGTTCACGCCATATGCGTGTCAGTATTGCAAAGAAACTTTCCCGGGTCCCATCCCTCTCCACCAACATGAGCGCTACTTGTGTAAAATGAATGAGGAGATCAAAGCTGTGCTCCAACCCAATGAGAATCTGATGCCCAACAAACATATATTCATGGAGAAGAATGCTCATCTGACATCTTCCATTTTGACTGAAAAGGGACTGACAGGCTCCCTTCACCCCTACAGGGACCACATGTCTGTGCTCAAGGCATATTTTGCCATGAACATGGAGCCCAACTCTGAAGAGCTGCTCAAGATCTCGATTGCCGTCGGCCTTCCTCAGGAATTCGTCAAGCAATGGTTTGATCAGCGGAAGATGTTTCCATACGGCAGCACCAGAACGCCGCCGCTTGAGCACAAGAGCGGCACGGAAATGGTTGTCGGGACGAACAACCACCACACTTCCCCTAAAGACTCTCTGATGGCGCGGTCGCCAATGTCTCTAATCAAACCAGGCGACTGCATCACATCCCCAGCTATTGCTGAGCTCCACAACAACTGTGACAACTCCCTCAGACATTTGAAAAACCACCAGTTTGGCGACGCGAAGGCCACAGGTGACAAATTGGACCATTCCCGAAGCAACACTCCCTCTCCGCTAAACCTGTCGTCGACATCCTCCAAACATTCGCACAGCAGTTCTTACACCCCGAACAGCTTGGTGTCCGAGGACCTGCAGGCCGAGCCGCTCGACCTTTCGCTTCCACGACTCATCAAGGAACCTAAGCACGCGCTGACCGTGAAGAGCCGTCCAAAAGTCAACAGTATTACAGTCGAGCTTAGCAGTGTCCCCTCGCCACGCGAGCACTTTGAGGAGCCTCTGAACCTAGCCTATCTCAAGAAGGAGTTCTCCGCCTCCGCCACCAATGGCAATTTGGAGAAAAGCACTAGCCCCATCTTTGGCATTAACCCCTTTGCCGCCAAACCCATGTACACGTCACTTCCCCCTCAGAGCGCTTTTCCACCGGCCACATTCATGCCACCAATGCAGGCCAGCATCCCAGGACTCAGGCCCTACCCCGGCATGGAACAGATGGGTTTCCTACCACACATGGCGTACACATACGCAGCTGGCGCCGCTACCTTTGCTGAGATGCAACAGCGGAGAAAGTATCAGCGGAAACATGGTTTCCAGGTAAGTAAACCACCTGTGGCTCTGCGACAGCCCGAGGTGGCACCATGCAAACTCAGATCTGTGCAAATTAGACATATCTGCACTGACCGAATAATGAACCCTCTTTGTTTTTAAACAAAGGGTGTTAAAAACCGTTCCCTCATTAGACTCAGTGTTGAATCATCTTATTCCGGGTACCAACTTGCAGAAGTCCCAGAATGTTTGGTTTTGTAGAAAAGACAAAAACCTGCTGTGGAGATTCCCCTTAGCACCACCACACCACTCCGGAGTTGCAGTTTAAAGGGAGATTATCTTCCAAGTGCACTTTAATAATGCACCAGCTCCGTGTTCATTACCACTGCATGCTGAGGGCTGTTTAACATAGAATGAACCATTTTGATGAAAAAAAGTATTAATAATGTTTCTCATTCTAAGTTATTAAATTAGATTTTAAAAATACAGCTACAGGCGTTTAGTTGAAATTGATTGCCGAGTGATAGTGTGGTCCCATCTTAAAACATCCTTGCATTGTCAAGTTCATTAAAGGAACACGTCACACCTTCTGATTGTGATCGCTGTGGCAGAATGTTCCACTCACGGTGGAACATTGTTCTCCATCAATTCACACACCGCACTTGTCTTCATCATAAAAGATATTTTTAAAGTGATGGCACTCTTACCGACTCCAATGAAAGCAGAAACAATAGCCCACCTCGCAAATCTCCTTTCAATGCATTCTGTGTAAAGCCACATAAAGGACTTATGAATTGCATTTTGCATGTAGATTTTCATGTAAGTGTTTGGATCCTAACTGACCAGAGTATTCGGATCATTTCTCCTAACAAGATGTAGGAATCAATAATATTTAAATGAATATCTTTATCGAATGCCACACAAAGAATTCTGACCCAAGGTGCAACAGTCCTAATATGGACCAGCCCAAAATTGAATGCCTTTATACACACTATCTGCAAATGCCAGAATTTTGTCTTTAACATCCATGCATGATCCATCCATGTCCTCATTATGGTCACAGATGAACTGGAGCCTATCCCAGCTGTTATTGAGCATGAGGCAGGGTAAACCCTGACCTGGATTTTACTTGTAGTCATTCACTAGGCACATGAAGGCAAACAAGCCTGCATACTCACATTCACACCTGTGGACAGTTCAATTTAGTTGCATGTTGGTTCTTTTGTTTGTTTGTTTGTTTTTTTTAATTTGGAGGAAGAAGGCGGGAGAAAAAGCAAACTCCACACGAAAGGACCGGAACTTTAATTTGAAGCTCGACCTTTCCACTGTGAGGCAGTCGTGCTAACGTTGCATGCTCACGCTGAAATTTGGGACAATGACTAAAAGTGCCGTGCAACGTTTTAAGTGAAAATAAAAACCCCTCACCTTCATCTGAATTGGCCCTAAATCTTCATGTGTTTCACTCTTGGTAACCTAGAAAAAAAAAAAGAAAAAAAAAACCACCTTGGTAAGGTCATGATAAAACAGTGTTCCCTGTGTTATTGCGGGTTTTAATTTGAGAGCAATTTTGCAGGTTTTCTTGTTATTTTTCTTCCTTCTAAGTCAGACCAGTCAAAAATGCAGATTTTTTTTTTTTTAGGGGACATTTGTTTTATAAAACCCAAGACCATGCACACTATGGCTTGTCACCCCATAAATCCCTGTCCCTCATTGTGGGTGTGTTTGGAAATACACTCATACGCTCTTTATTCAGAAGACCATTCGAAAACTCAGAATGTTCAGTTGTTCAGAGTTCAACCATAAAATGGAGCCCACTCACGTCCGTACAAGGAATGTACTGTAAACAGCTGCGCTCAGAAATTAATGGCAGCGGAGTGTGCCCTGCCATTGACAGCACACGAGGGCAACAAAACATCCACTTAATAATTAAGTTTTCCTTTTTAGTTTAAAATGGCTTACCTTAAACAGAATCCTGCGCCACTTTGTGGCCAAAGGTACAATCGTGGTGGTTTAATGTGTCTTGTAAATCTTAGTTGTGAAAACCAAAACCGAGTTTCAACTTCTGTACTGAATTACTGAAGTTGCTTCTTCTATATTAGAAGAAGAAAAGCAGTCATGGCAACTGTGTTTCGGTTTCCAAAACAAGGATTTAATTGGTTATTCCACAAGGATGTAATTTTGGCTAACAATGCATCGTGATGTGATGCGACATTAAAGTGAGCCATTTTCAGAGCAAAGCAAAAACATTAACGTTTCATCGTCCTCATGAACTGTCAGAGGCAGTGTGTGCACTGGTCCCATTATTTTCTGAATGCAGCCAAAAATCAGCAGCTCGATAATTATAAGTCAACCGCAGAAATTCACCGATCATAGGGATCATGAAATACACGAAAAGTGTTGGAACACTGAATATATGAAAAGAATAATTATACAAGATTTAGAATTTTAGTGCTGGCCACCTGCAAGCTTTGAATGTGAGCCTAAACTAATTGTTGTTTTTGTTTTTTGTCCTCTTTCTCTTTTCTGTCGTTGTTTGTTGTTGCTAAGGGCGACCTACTTGACGCTACAGCCGATTACATGTCAGGGCTGGACGACATGACAGACCCCGATTCCTGTCTGTCGCGGAAGAAGATTAAGAAGACTGAAAGTGGTATGTACGCGTGTGACTTGTGCGACAAAACATTCCAGAAGAGCAGTTCCCTTCTCAGACACAAATATGAACACACAGGTATATACTGTTCTAGACCCTTATTTCCAACCCCATTATATTTCCTTTTGTCAATGTTTGTATTGAAAATCCTCAGTGAATCTTTGAACTTGTCCCCTCCTCTTCCTCTTTCCTCTGTTGCACATCTTGTAACTTGCTTTTTCATCAACAGGGTGGACATAGTTGTGCTAGTCGTTATCCCGATGAGTAAAGACAACTCTGTTATTGGCGATAGATCGCATCAGCACCTTCAGAGTGCCACTAACGAATCTTTCTTATTCCTGTTACGAGACAAAGTTCCTCTTTCATGGGGTTGCATCATTCATTTCAGACGCTAACGCTCATCTAGTGTTTGCCGCTTTTGTGCGTCTTATCTATTTGGACATGAAAGCGACGCTTTCATGCTCACGTCGCTGTGTTGTTCTGGTCCTGCACTGAAGGGAAGTGGTCCGACTGGAGATTAAAAAGCCGTTCCGCCTCATGTACAGCATATATTGCAAAAGTTTTAACAGAAAAGAAATGCCAGCTTCCTGCGGCAGGCATGCTATCAACATGAACTTCAGTCATATTTACAGATAAGCTTGTCCCCGCCCCCTCCTGCTGAGCTCAGATTTCTTAACTCCTCAGCCACTGTATTTACGAGGCATCGATGAGTGCGACGCACTGACGAGTTTCTTTGCTTGGACAGCAGGAGGGAACTTTCATAATGTCAGCCGGCGAATGCGAGCGCACTTTCTCCTCACAATTTGAATAGCATTAGATTTGATGTCCCGTTATGTCATTTTGCTCCACGCCATCCAATCCATCGAACTCTTTGCTTTCCTCTGCTTTGTGTGATTTATTGTGGCGTCCCGATCGTTGTCGCGCCACTCACGTTCTTCGCGCTTTGTTTTGTGTGTCCGCAGGCAAGCGGCCGCACCAATGTCAGATCTGCAAAAAGGCCTTCAAACACAAGCACCATCTCATTGAGCACTCACGCTTGCACTCGGGCGAGAAGCCCTACCAGTGCGACAAGTGCGGCAAAAGGTTCTCGCACTCGGGCTCGTACTCGCAGCACATGAACCATCGCTACTCCTACTGCAAGCGCGAGGCGGAGGAGCGCGAGGCGGCCGAGAGAGAGGCCCGCGAGAAGGGCCATCTGGAGCCTACGGAGCTGCTGATGAGCCGGGCCTACTTGCAGGGAATCACTCCTCAGGGTTACCCGGAGCTGGCGGAGCGTGAGGCCATCTTGCGGCACGACGGCGTGAATGGAGGGATCATAGAGGGACGCAAGGAAGTGGATGAAGAATATGTGAAGATGGGACGCAGGGAGGATGAGTTTGAGTTTGAGGAGGAGGAGGAGAGCAAGAGCATGGACACGGACCCGGACACGTTGAGGGACGAAGAGGAGAACGGAGAGCACTCGATGGACGATAGCTCGCTGGATGGCAAAATGGAAACCAAATCGGATCGCGAGGACACGATGGAGGACGCCATGTAGTGGTCTCTCCGTGGGAAACGTTTGACGTTTCTTCCGGTTCAGTATTCTTACCTGCTCGGTTTAAGACTGGATGTTTTAAACCGTACGTGCACGTGCCTGAAGCTTCCGGGAAGCTTTGACCGCTAAATCAATGAGGCAGCGGCATTGAAGGGAGGGGGAGGGGTTTGTGACTGAAGCCGCATTATGCAAACCCAACAAAGAATAAATTCATCTGGAAAAATGTACAGTCCTAAGGCCTATACATGAGTGTGGTGCTAACCTCCCCCTGCCCGTGTTCCATAGTATTTATAGCACAAAAAAAAAAAAAACAGTGACTTGTACAAATTGCACTCCGCTTCTATAATCATGAAGAAAAAAAAAGAAAAAAGAAAGTGTTGCCTATGTATATATTTATACGGGGTTGGAACAAGAGCAGCGGGGTCTGCGTACCCCCTTTAGCCCTTTGGTGTTTGTCGTCACCCACCTTTGGTTCCACCACCTGCGGCCACACTGTGTCAGGCCTCCAATCATTAAGACTGTGAAGGATATGGGTCAAAGAGGAGGAGGAGGAGGAGGAGGAAGATGATGAGCTTGTGGCGCGTCCGTCTTAAGGGAAATTGTGGGTTCTGGACGCTTCGGGATAGGGGGATGAAATGAAGGATGAAGCCTTTGAGGTGTTTTATGAAAAAGAAGCCTTATATGCAAACCTTTTAACCTGTGTGTTTTCTGCAAGTGCCACCCTCGTATTGTGTCAAAGGAAGGTTACTTTTTTTCACCAGCTTCAGTATTATGGGATGGTTTACCATTGTTCTCTGCGGCACCCGTGTCAGTATTAAGACTCTAGGCAGCAGTTACTTAGTTTACATTATGTTGTGCAATGTTTCTTTGTCAGTATTACACCAAACCTTTTTTTCTTTTCTTTTTGGAAAACAACAAATTGCATTCATTTTATTTGTAGGTTGGAAAAAAAACAAACTTATTTATGTGGCCCATTTTATATTTCCTAATTTTATTTATTTCATACTGTTGTGTACAGTACTATAGGTCTTCAATATATAGATATATTTTAGTAAAAAGGAACATGGTGTTGATCATAGGGCAAAATTTACGTAAAGAGAGCATTTATTGTGTTTTGAAACATTGTGAAATGCGAAGTTTAATCTTATTTTATTTTATTTCCTCTATTTTCCACATCATGGAAAATTCCAAATTTGGGAACTTTTATACAATTGTGAAAACACTGTATTTTCAACTGAAAAAAAAAAATTCCACTTTCTTCATCTTTGTTTCTTTTTTTAAGCTAAAAAATGAAGAGGGACTGTTAAATACTATGTATGATATCATGACTGAAAAAGAATCTTTCCTGAAATGTCTTTGTAAAAGTATTATTGAATTCTTGATTTGTAATTTCTCTTGAAAATGACCCTGCTCGAATAAAAGTAGCCAAATTACAAAATACCAAACACTTGCTGAGTCCTCTTTGTTTGAATGATTTTTTTGAAAAAAAAATATTTTTAATGTTTCAGTGTTTTTTTTTACTGCACATGAACGTTTGCAAAAAAAAAAAAAAAAAAGAATACAAGCCTTTTTCATATTACGCAGCAATGCAGTTGAGCAGGAGGAAATAATCGTTGCAAAATGTGTCTTCATCCTGCCACGTTTGTACTTGGCGGTGACAGGTGGACTCCATCACGCCCTTCACTGCGCTTTATGTAGATGAGCGGCAACATCAAAAGGCTCAGATGAAAGAATCAAAGGTTTAGCCATGCCAAACATCAGAACCAGCTTTGTGTTTTCCCATCGATCGCATCACCACCGGATCATTCACAGACTATCTCATGGATGAAAAGGGGG